CGACCGCAGCATAAGGTTGCCTCCTTCTTGCTAGCGAAATCAGATTGAGTCAAGAGCGAAACCTTTAGACGAGCGCTTCTTCTGCTCTTTCACCATTTTTGCAATCTCTGTTATTTACGATCGCACTTAAGTTCTCTCTGTTCGCTTCGTTTTCACCATCTTTCTGCGAAAAGTCGAAAATGTAGATTCTTTCTCCTACGAAACCCTTGGAAGACTGTGTCTGCTGGTCTTTAAAGGCCAGCTAGGCGCACAGACATTAGGCATTATGTACATCATGCGGAATCGATGTTGATGCTGTTTAAGTCGCCTAACGGGAAATGGCACAAGCCGATGGTTACACTTCCGCCAACTTCTGCAGCGAAGCCTTTCTCCCAAGAGTCCTCATTTTCAGCGCCTTCTCTACTCCTGAATCAAGTCTTAGTGTACTTAGGTCACTCCGCCAGGAGTAAGGATCCTGGCGCATCCTCTACTTTCTCGACATGTGGTGTATTGCCTTTATTCCTACTCCTCGATGTCTCAGATCTCCTATAGCTATTGGACGCCGATAGCCGTCACCACCGGGCCGTCCCTAGTACGTTTCGTCTTTGGTAGTTCCTCTCTCTTTTGCAAAAGTTTCACCTCTAGCCAATTCTATCCTTACACTTGCCCTTTGCCGTAATATCGCACCGGTGTCGTGAGTGACAGAAGCCGGAGACCGAACGCCGTATCTGACATAAGTAGTAAAAGGGGAACGTTACACCAACGAGTGCAAACCTTGTGTTTTGCTGTGTGTGCGTACGACGACTGGATAAATTAATACGGTTCAAGGATTCTATCTTCGACTATCTTCTGGAAAGTGTTCTTTCTACGATATTTACACGATAGCCGAGCATGTGCCGTTCGTGTTTCATGGTTTCAAAGCATGAGAGCGCAAGTAAAACGAAGGGCAAGTTAGGACAGATGCTGGACGCGATACTACTTGTGTGTTTAAGTGTAAGGGAAAATTCACTCGCAACTTTCGAAACGATCTCCTAGTTCTTGCTCTGCAAGGTCACTCTTGAATCGTTTCACATAAAAGTTGCTTTGTGTTACGTATAAGCAAATGTTCTGTTTGTCGGGATAGGTTCTCCTTGTCAAGGTGTTCAGTATTGCGATTGTTCTCCTATGTCGTCGGCCTCGCATTCCTTACCCACTTGGTGAGGTTTGGCTGGCTGGCGGGCAATATCTGCAGTAAAACTCTTACGGAATCGTCCTTTTCCAACTGTTCATGGTGGCTCGTATCAAGAGACCCAAGAATCCTTTGCAAACATAGCAGGCATGGGCCTAAGGTGGTGAGGACTGAGGCTAAAAAACGGGGCGACTACGAGATGAGTTCTCTGAGAACAAAGTATCACTTTTCACGATACATGCACCCTACAGTTATATAGCTTCGATGGGCTCGATACGACGCCGCGAAGGCTGATGTCGGTTGAAGTACCGTGCTTTGCGCAGAAATAGAAGAAGATGTGAGTGAACTATTTCCACGCTGCCTGGTTTGCGGGGGTTGCAAGCAGGTAATGCTTATAGGAAAAAAAAAGCGGATTTCGGCTGTAATGTAGTTCTGAATATGACGAATCGCACTCACCATACCTTCTCAAACATGGTCGAGTTGAATGAAGACTGCCATCGTTTGCTCGCTTTGCCATGGTTGGTCCTGTGATATGTCTTAGTCGACGCAGTTCTACACAGTGAAGCTCACAATCATCACTCATGCGGTCGGGTAACGTCCGCCCGTCTCCCGCTCTCCTGTGGGTAAAGATACTCACAGTGACGCGGCAACACGCGAAGACCGAAAACTACGAAACGAAGGGCGGAAAAACGAAGCGGTATAAGAGTAGAAAAGCTCGAACGTAGCCGCAAGATCCAGCTACACGTCTGGTTTGGTCAGGAATCTTCCAGGGAAAGTGGCTAAGTGAGAAATGGAAAGAGGCGCTCGGCAACATAAATGTAGCGATACCGTACGTGTGTCACTCCACCTCCACGGCTCTGTGTCCTATCTTGGGAGGGAAGTGTGTCAAGAATAAGGCAGATGTACACGGCGAAGTTTAAGACGGAGGAAGAAAACGTCTGCGAGCTTTCTTCTAGATAATACGCAAGAGTTGTGGAGGCAACTGGTTACAATACTGAGATAAGAACAACCTAGCATGATTCAGGTAGACGTACGAAAAGGGTAAGGCCGATAGATATAGTGTAGGATTGGCTGCATGAAATTTGGAAACTTTTGCTTCGAAAATCGTAAGGACAGTTGTAGAAAAATCGTGGTAGTTTTCTGAAGTAACGGAATTGACTACGCTATATAGTTAATTGTTTGCTAACTTAAGTCAGGTGTTGCGGCATTTAGCTTGATTTGACAAAAAGACAACTATACGACTATGGAGTTACCGGGCTCACAAAACATTTGGCTGTGTATAATAACATCTAACGTTGATTTCGTGGATCGGGCTATAAAGTGAACTGGGATAAACATATCTGATGCTAAAGGCAAAATAGTACGCTTTGCGTAATACACTCAGGATGCTACTTGTATAACAACATCATTATCAGCCGCATATGCCTCTTAAAGAGTCACGGGTAAGCGGTATAAAGTGCTTTATCCGAGCAACAGCAGAACTCCTATACACTTGGACTGCGATATGCCAAGCGTCCGTTATTAGCGAAAGCGACTTAGGAACGAAGAAACTCAACGTCAACGAAGGACTCTACGACTCTGCGTAAACCTAGCCCGTCTCAACGAAGGGGACCGTCTTATCAAATCCCTACAGACCTCACAACTTCGGCCGCTGTTGCTGATGTTACGCCAATAACTTAGCGAGATATGTTATTCTTGCTCAGGATAATACTTTTATAGCAAAGCTAACTGACTGAAAAATACTGCAATCTATATGGGATAAAACACCGTACTCTTTCTACACTCGGAACGCCAATAGTTCAGTTGAATAGCTTTTGGAGAAAGTTTCTGTTTTGATATATTTTCTTAGGTATTCGATTTCTTCGTTCATTAACGGTAAGTAATGTTACCGTAATATCATCTTGTACAATTGAGCTAACCAAAAAGGGGCGACAGGAGAGTGTTCAATCACTGATATCAAGCCCGACACGAATCGTGCCGGTAACAAATAGCGGCGTATTACGACTGCATGATATATTTGATTAAAAAAAACTAATTAAAAATTCAGCTACAGGGTTTTTGCATGATGTGGCGTCTACAACGCTAACTTTGCTCAAAAACACACGTCTAATTGCAACGCGCCATATATAGTAGTCCTGCGATAGGGAAAGCTTTTTCATGTTTAGCGGTAGTGAGTTAGGACCAATAATGTGTGCAGTGTAGCTTGGCAGGCACCTTAGTGTCCAATGAATATCTCCATGAATACAACTACATGAGGCTGGCACACTAATTAACGAATCGTTGCCTGCCAATCTGTTGTTACTCGTTAACTATGTCACAAGAGTGTTTAATGGACTTTTCTTTCAAGAATTCACAGTTCCGCCCACAGAATGCCCCCATGTGATGTACCTATATATAAAGAAAACGCTCGAACTATTTCTGTATTTCAGAGCATTTTATTCAGGAATTATAGGACAAAAGCTTCATGAACTCCTGACATGTGAAGCTCACACACACACATGATAAACTCAGTAGGGAGCCTCCGAAATAAATACTGTTGCCCACTAGTGCCTGGCCCAACCCATAGTAAAGGATATGAAGACTCTAGATACGGTATAGCTGGTTGTATCAGAAAACACGAGATAAAAAGGTAACTTGGTCCATAAGTGTACGCTCTCAAAAGAGAACCGTGAGGGAACTAATGGACATTTCGCTGATTCGGATTTTGGCCTTCAGAGCAGCTATCGCCATCTGTAACCTCAAATTTTCATTCGAAGTTTTCCGCTACATTTGACTGGATGCTTGTGTGTCAGTGTAAGACTTAGACAAACTTGGAGAACGCTTTTTGGAGGGGGGGGGGGGGGGTACATGCACAAAGGAAAAAATGTTCCTCCTTTCGTCTCCTTTCCGGAGGCGAGCTTGAAACGCCAACGATCTCCCAGACAAAAGGAAGTCTACTTATTTTTGAACCTTCACGATGAAACGGGGGTGGATACTCATAAAATGATCGTAGACTCTAGCTGCTGAGAATTGCCGCCTCCAAGCCATTTGAGTAGTTGGCTTGCAAGTCTGCCTAGGTCGGGGTGTTTCAGAGAGTGAAGTTGGGTCGCCTAGTAACGGGACGACTTCTAGTGATAGTCTGGTGTGATGAAAGATTTGATTTTCGGTCTTGAGCCTGATCTCTACGATCGCTTCGAACTCGTTCAGCTTGCCGCAGGGGAGTACTAAAGGGCAACATGCTTAAATCCACTTAGGGCAGTGGAAGATTGAGAACGAAGTGAGTACGGGCAGATTTGCTTGTAGGTTATTGGGCGTTTTTATTTTTTCTTCCGCTACAATTGTCAAATAGAGATGATATGAGGTTGAGAACTTTTAATCAAGGCTTAATTAATTAAGTATCGTAAGTTAGCAAAAACCAAAGGTGGGTAAAACCATGCCAAAGTGGAAGCCAAAAGAATATGCACCGGGCTGGTCTGGAGTGCCCATGTGTCATAATATCATTCAGTAGCTGAATGAGGTCACGTTTAACTAACGAAAGGCGCTCGCTAACTCAGATTCGACTAGTTACTTATCAATTCATGATATATTAAAGTAGCGCGAAAATTTACCATTGGACTGTCAGACATACGTAAAATCTCGGTGTGTACATCTGATAAATAGCATAACATTGATCACAGATCTATATACGATTATAATAACGTTTTTATCATTTAATATGACCTAGGAATTAGTTCTAGTTTCTAATTTACGCGTGAGCTTTTTCTTACCAACTCACCCGCCTCTACATAAACGTTACATTTCAACAGCTTTCTTTTGATCCGAAATTGTTTTTTTGCTAGCTGACTGCATATCTATTTCTCGATTTGATTCGCAGATCACCAAAGTGAATGTACAGGAGTGTTCTCAATATAAGACCTGCGTGGATTGTCTGGGCGCCCAGGACCCGTACTGTGGATGGTGTAGCTTAGAGAACAAATGCAGTCAGCGTTCAGATTGTGCGCAGGCCGCCCAAGATCCTCTCTACTGGCTGAATTACAAGAGCGGCAAATGTACCACGATCACACAGGTGCACCCCCCAAAAATTCAGCGAACAACAGCTCGTATCCTCTCGCTAACTATCGGCAATCTGCCGAATCTTGAAGGAAACTTCTACTGCGCTTTTACCACATTTGGAAAGACGCTTGAGACGAACGCCACGAAAACAGCCAATGGAGTCCAGTGCGCGACGCCGCATACTGACTCGCTACCGGCGATCGCCCCGGGCGAACATCACTTTACTGCCAAACTGTCCGTAAGAATGCGCAACAATCCGGACTTCGTCGCTACCAACTTCACGTTCTACGACTGTAGCACCTATTCATCGTATGTAGAAACAACTGGATTGGTTATAATTATTTATTATTGATTACAGTTGGTATAACAATATAAAAAGAATGGCTGCAATTAAAAACTAAGTTAGAGAAATTATTGGTCTGACGATTTATGCTCTATCCATATTGGTAAATATAGTTCAAATTTCTATGTTTATTCAATTTAGTACATAAACACCTTGTGAACTAATAAGTTACACCAGAAAGTTGGAAAAATGTTTTTTTTCTCATTTGTTCTACCCAACGTTAAAGCTACGCAAAGGGTTTAACAGTAACCAATTTATTGTATTTTTGTGTTTGTTCTTCCTGTGCGGTTTTATTTGCAGCTGTACGGAGTGCGTCTCAAGTCCGTTCCCATGCGACTGGTGCGAGGGTGGCCATCGTTGTACCCACGATACCGGCGAGAATTGCCGAAACGACGTATTGGTCACGGGCGTTGCTAGTGTGGGATCTTCAATCCGATCTGGACCCGGGTTTTGTCCCCGAATCAACGCCACTAACAAGGGACCGGAGCAACTGGTACCAATGGGCATCAACAAGCGAATCCAGGTTCGAGTCGATAACATTTTACCGTTTATTGCACAGACAAAATTCGTCTGCCAGTTCAATATCGAGGGCCGTGTAAAGCAGGTAAACGCGCAGATGCTTGGTGACACGATTTACTGCGATCAGATGCAGTTCAACTACGCCACGACGGCACCGAATATCACCACTGCATTCGCCGTTATTTGGGATGGTTCGAAACCGCTTGATAACCCAGACAACATCCACGTGCTGGTTTACCGCTGTTCGTCGATGAGCGACAACTGCGGGATGTGCCTCGAACTGGACGATAAATACGGCTGCGGATGGTGCCAAGAATCCAACTCATGTGAGGTACAGGAACAATGTCATAAGCACACCGTCAAGTGGCTGGAACGAACACAAACCTGCCCTGACCCGCAGATCACCAAGGTGACGCCAAGCAGTGGCCCGTTTGATGGTGGAACCAATATTACCATTGACGGATACAACCTCGGTCGGGTCTTCTCTGACGTGGATAATGGTATCTATGTGGATCTTGGGGAGCGTGAGAAAATCAATTGTAAACCGCATCCGAATCAATACGTGAAAACGACCCGAATCGTCTGCGAGCTGGGAGCGCCGACCATCAACAAGACGTCTCCTGGTACTGCCATCAGTGGTCATGTCGTTGTCAAAGTGCTCGGGGACTACATTGCACGATCAGTTAGCACGTATTCGTTTGTGGTAAGTGGTCTCATTCGTAAGGTCGTAAATTTCGTTTTTTTTTTTTAAACCAAACGCTGTATATGATGATATCGCTGACTAAATTGTTTTAATATAAATAGACCTCACAAACCGCTTGTGTACCAAATTAACATCAATTACAACTCATGTCATTTTTTTGGCAAACAAATTGTTTCTTGTTATTTTTTGTGTCAGAACCCTCGTATCACTTCGATCAATCCGTCAAAGGGCCCCATGAGTGGGGGAACAAAACTGCGCATCTGGGGCCTGCATATGGACGCCGGCAGTAGGGCCGAAGCTTTTGTGGGTGCGATGCCCTGCGAAATCATCTCGCGCAAACCTAATGTCGTAGAGTGTATAACATCATCATCTCTGAAACAGGAAGAGGGCAAAGTTCGCCTTAAACTCGACCGTGGTCTCAAAAACTTCGAAGATTATGGCTTCCTGTACGTTGCTGATCCCGACGTGCACCAGGTCGAGAGCGGGGGCGCTTCGGTTGCCGGTCACATTAAAGGAGCTGCACCCCGTGGCATACCAAGTGGCGGCATTTCCGTCATCGTCAAAGGTACTCAACTAAATTCGGTTCAGGAACCAATGATGTACGTCGCCTTGGACGGTGTCGAGTATTATTCTAAGTGTGGACCCGAAAGCAGTACCGAAATGAAGTGCCGCACACCAACGGTGCCCCCGGAACAGCTCAACTTCTCCGAAGACGAAGAGTACATTGAGCTGGAATACGGCTTCAAGATGGATAATGTCAAGGGAGTAAGACACCTGTCATCCACCAAAGGCTTTCCAAAGTTCCAGATGTTCCCCGACCCATCCTACTATCCGTTCGCCGAGGAGGGCGGCATCAAATATTACAAATCCGACTATCTCACCATCAACGGCGCGAATCTGGATCGCGCGTCGCAGGAGAGTGACGTCGTGGTTCGAATTGGTGCTGGTTATTGCAACGTCACCTCGCTAAGCCGAACCCAATTGACTTGCCGACCCCCAACTGAACAGCCGGCCGCACTCGATGAATCTGGCCAGATTGACCGTAACCGAATACCCCAGGTAATCGTCGAAGTGGGCGATACACTGAAGTACTCCATAGGAATGCTAAGCTATGACGCGGCGCACGGACATGACACTCAACTCTCACGTCCCATTGTCATCGGTGTCATATGCGGAGGTGTGGTGCTCATAATTATCGTAATTGGTATTCTAATTGCTTATCGCCGAAAGAGCACAGAGTCGTCCCGTGTGCTTAAGACCATGCAGGAGCAAATGGACGTGCTTGAGCTCCGTGTTGCTTCCGAATGCAAAGAGGCCTTCGCTGAACTACAGACCGAGATGACCGACCTCACATCGGAGATCACAGCCGGAGGGATACCGTTTCTCGACTATCGTACCTACACAATGAAGGTCCTCTTCCCCAGCATCGAGGACCACCCAGTGCTTAAGGAGATGCAGGTCGATCCAGTAAAGAAGCAGTACATGGAAAAAGGACTAAGGATGTTTGGACAGCTAATCATGAACAAGACGTTTCTGCTGCTTTTCATCCGAACCCTCGAGTCTAACCGGTTAGTAAGACGACGAATTTGTTTTCAGATTGCACAGAACGTATCACCTGTTTGGCAGACACCTAGATCCGGATTGAAGTTTGAAATTACAGCGACGTAGTCCTATAGCTAAGTATAAGCAATAGAGAAGGTGTGGGGTAGATTGCAAATAAGCCCTGGGTTTTTAGAGAGTTGTAGGCTACCACCTGTAGCAGATGGAGCGCTTCATTTTTCGGCCCTGTCCATTTGTTCCATTTGTCAACGAAGATTTATTTTCTTTCTCTTAGAAGAACAACACTATAGAAACCAGTCACAAGTCGCTGTCAAACGTTAGATCTATATAATAAAAGTAACATTATTTAAGAAAAATAGTGAAATAATAATGTCCCGTCAATTGAAGCTTCCCATCTCTAATCAACGCCACTTTAAGACCAATTCAATGAATCAAGCCAAATGATCATTGTCTTCTCATTCTTTTTATGTCGATTATTTTGGATTTGCCCTGATCTGACAGGTACTTTTCAATGCGCGATCGCGTGCAAGTGGCATCTCTGATCATGGTCACACTGCAAGGCAAAATGGAGTACTGCACCGATATTCTGAAAACACTACTCGCTGACCTAATCGAGAAGTGCATCGACGGCAAATCGCACCCGAAACTACTGCTTCGCAGGACGGAGTCAGTGGCCGAGAAGATGCTTTCGGCCTGGTTCACCTTTCTCCTGTATAAATTTTTGCGCGAGTGCGCTGGCGAGCCGTTGTTTGTACTGTTCCGAGCCATCAAGCAGCAGGTGGACAAAGGCCCGGTCGATGCAGTTACTAGCGAGGCTCGTTACTCACTCAGTGAGGAGAAACTCATTCGCCAGTCCGTTGATTACAAATCAATCACTGCTTACTTCTCTATCGCACCACAGTCTTATTATATGTCGGTCGGGATGATCGACTCGGCCGTCGCCGAGGGCCAGGACATACCCGTTAGGGTATTGGACTGCGACACAATCTCGCAGGTAAGTCTGTCTTAGTTTGTGTAATTTACCTTCTCTTAACAATATCGTATTATATGTTAGAGAATTCAGCACTTCCGTGTATGTTGATGCCGTTGTAATCGAAATGTTTTTACTAACAGGCCTGTTGGCCTTGAAACTGACGTCGTTTAAAAATGTATGTGGCAATAAAACTTAGAAAAACACCCTATTCATAAACAGGAAGTTTGTAACTAATTATAGAATTCCAGCATCCTTACTCAAATGGTGACTTTCGCATAAAGAAGTAGGTAAATAATACCACCAAAACTTCTGTGTTTTCAACATATATATTATTATGGTTTGGTTTACGTGAATTTCGTTGCCATTTTATACCTTGCAATACGTTTTATCGGAAGGCTGTGACCTTGCGGATAGTACACTGAAGTCTGTTGTTACTCTAAAGATTTGCTATTATTTTTCTCGTAAATTGAAAGTAGGAAGAAAGCGTGCGTGTAGCTACGCGCATCTCATCAATTTGTAGCCTCCTTCCAGAAACCAAGCCAATCTGCAACCTGTTCTACACTCGTGTCGTCTTCTTTAAATTTGCCCGCCTTTTTTTATAGGTGAAAGAAAAAGGTCTTGATGCGATTTACAAGAATACCCCGGCCTCGCAACGGCCGTGCAAGGATGACCTCGACTTGGAGTGGCGGACAGGCACCTCCGGGCGGCTAATTCTCTCAGATGAAGACGCGACCACAAAGTCAGAGGGCGAATGGCGCCGCCTTAACACGCTTTCGCACTACAAAGTGCAGGATGGGGCCAGCTTAGTACTTGTGCCCAAGCAGTCGTCTACCTACAACCTGAGTATCACTTCTGAGAAGATGACTCCGGCCGAAAAGACGCTGTACCACAAATATGAAACACTAAATTTTACGGCTGGGTTCCAGCGGTCGCCTCCGATGTCTCGTGCTACCTCACCGCCCCCGCACGGTCTCTCCGGTCTCGGAGACCTCGAGAGCGGTTTCAAGTACTGGCATCTCGTGCGGCACGCCGATGCTGATAAAGATGAACGAGGTAACAAGATGGTATCTGAGATCTATCTAACTCGCCTGTTGGCGACCAAAGGAACCCTGCAGAAGTTCGTCGACGATTTGTTCGAGACGATCTTCTCGACGGCCCACCGAGGAAGTGCCCTTCCGCTGGCGATCAAGTATATGTTTGACTTTTTGGATGACCAAGCGATCCAGCATGGCATCCAGGATCCCGAGGTTGTCCACACCTGGAAATCGAACTCGCTACCGTTGCGGTTCTGGGTCAACCTGATCAAGAATCCTAACTTTGTGTTCGACACGAACAAATCCAACATCGTTGACTCGTGCCTAAGCGTCGTCGCACAGACGTTCATGGACGCCTGCTCCACATCGGACCACCGACTTGGCAAGGACTCACCGTCCAGCAAGCTGCTATACGCCAAGGACATTCCTGCGTACAAGGATTTGGTCGAACAATATTACGCCAATATCCGGGCGATGCCGCAGATCTCAGACGAGCATATGAATGCGATGCTCGGTGAGGAGTCCCGCTTACACGCACATGAGTTCAATACAAATGTCGCACTTAATGAACTCTACAAATATGCTGCTAAATACACCGAGCAAGTACGTATACACTATGAATTACGACTATCCAAAATCAACTCTTGTTTTTATAAAGCTCAATAACAGATCTACCCATTCATCGTTGTCGCATCTTGAATTTTATCTAATATTATGTTTCGAATTAAAGATCAATTAATGTGTTGTAAGCCAAGATTATTTTTTCAACGTGTATAATCTAGCTTGTACACTTCCTCAACGGTACCACCTCGATGGTTATACATCCACACCAGCCAAATTATAGGCAAATTTGTTTATCACATGCGTATCTTATCCGTGTATGCTGAGCATTACTGAAACATGGATCTGCTATTCGCCCATGCTGTCCTAAGCGTTCATATAGTTCTATACGTATCATATTGTGAATGAACGACAAAGATATCGATTTATTAATATTCGTTCGTTTCGTATCTTTTAGCTGCTGTTAACGCTGACGGAAGATGAATTCGCCGAGAAGAATCGGCTAGCATGGCGGCTAGCACAAGTCAACAAAATTATGCACGGAGACACTGAGGCATGACGATCCCATTGGCAGTCCGCTGACGTGTAACGACGATCTCATCCAGTTCACGTCATCAATATCGTTCTACGATGACAAACGTTATGATGATGTGAAGGTTCATATGTGACGAAATGACAATAATACCAATTTATCAACCCCCGACAATATCCCTTTCCCCCAGACAATATTCTCTCACACAAGAAGACGACGACACACATAACGACAACTCGTACGCACTCTACGACCACAAGTCAGTACAGCCATCTCTACTTTTTTTTCTTCCCTACCTCAATTGCAACAGCTACAAATCAATCATACTTCAGCACTGTATTCAACGCAAGCCATGTCAATCATCGTATGTGTATATCAGCGTAATGATAATATCAGCAAGCGACCCTTTATTGAAAACTGGAAAGCTTCAGGCGAAGGTATGGGTAGACGCTTTGCCTTTGAAGAATCGGTAGCAACCGTCGTGAAATAAGCGCCAGCAGCCGCAATAACTCATGGTAAAAAGAGAAGAAGACAGTCGACAGCGTCGTAGCCACAGTCACGAGCTGAGAATTGAGGCGGGCGTATGAACTGGAACCTCTCCAATAGTTCGAAATAGAGTAACGATAACAATATTATAAAGTACAGAAACCCTAAAAGAGAAAAGACGCAACGATTTAATCCGACATTAAATAAAAATTAGTACCGCAACGGATTTTCACTCAACTCGGTATCGAGCATGACTGGAAGAGACGAAATTCGACCAAGCTAAGATCAGCTAGGAAACCACAAACACATCTCTTTTGTCACACGGATTATAAAACATCCTTATCGTGGAATCGAACCGGATACCTGCTGAATATGCAGCAGCAAACAGCAAACCTTCATACTACGGCAAAGTGGGCAGGCATGGCAAAGTAGGCAGGTATTGGAGGAAACAGAAATAGAAGGGAACTGTACACTATCACAGCATCATACCCCATATTCCCATTGTAAATATATATACAGTTATACGACGTTCAGTGTGTGAATGTTTCGGTTATAAATTATTTCGATTCAGTTATTTATGGGATACATTCTTTTTTGGTGGTAGAGTTGTGTTGTTTGCTGTTGAGCTCGGCTGTACAACACCGAACGTGGCATGCTGAATCTTCAGGCGGCGACATGTGCCTATATCCTAGACCCAGCTAGCAATCGTTTAGGTATTTCAGTCAACGGTGAGGCAGGTTGTGCTGACCTATAAACTACCAGCCAATGACACTAAAATTTCTTGAGGTGATTCTTTCGTTCGGTCGCGGCGGTGACTGTCCATTGAACTCAGAGAATGGACAGTAAACCAACGATCTATTTGGCTCTTCTAAACCTGCTGTGGGCAAGAAACCATGCAACGATCAGAATCCTAGCAACGCGAAAAGTCCATTGTTTTTGACTTATTACGAATATACGCTTGCGTCAATTGAACGGCACAGTATTTCTAGCTGCAACAGCCGGAGATAATTATTCAATGGTGAGGTAGTTTAGAATGTGGTTAGCTAAGTGAGCGAAGAAGAAGAGTTCTTATTAGCTCGTAGAGTTTTATTTGCATTCTATATAGAAACACACAGATAACAAGAATCTACACATACAATTTTCTTTCTTTCTTTCTTTCTTTCTTTTTTTCTCTCTCAGAGAGAAAAAGACTTTTATTTTCAATTTGGGTTGAGTCGTCACACTTTGGTTGACTGCCACGTGTTCAGTTAATAATAATAATAATGTTTACATTTCGAAAGCGTTAACCTTTATCGCTTTGTTCCTAATAGTGCGCTGAGATAAACGGCGAAAGTTGCCGCCTGGACTTACAAAGCTACACAACAATACAAAGTACGCCACAGTAACTTTTTGTAACTGCATTACCAGCAATTGCTCACTTTTTGGCCCTGAAAAGAAGCGTACGCTTGGCCAACGTACAATTAGCGTTGAGTTCGACAATCGTCAATTACAAAGTACATCTAGTACCACCATATAGTAATAGCACTGATGAGTTGCTTGTTATGGAAAACACATATTGAACAATAAAAACGTATATAGTATTTACTTCTGTAAATGTAAATTTTCCACGTGAGTAGATGTTTACTACTCTTTGATCAAACAGCAGCTGGTTAATGTTTTGTTGCACTATATATATATATAATCGCATTAATACACAGACACCCACATATCTCGAAGTCCCGCGGCTTCTTCAGGCGTCCCGGCGCAATCGTTGTTACTGCCGCCATATTTTGTTGTGCTGCATATTCGTTCGAATCGGTATTTTTGACGTAGTTTCTTTTTCCTATATAGTATACCTATGACGTTCCTCTACTCTCCCATGCCAAACCCCGTTTCCTCGCGCCCGCGTTTCCATACATCTCAAGCTCTAGCTCTTGATCGCTTTACTCTTTCTGCTAAAGACCGTTCTTTAAAAGCGTTCCTATTTCGTGACACGAAGAGCGATTTCACGACTACGGCGGAGGATCCCGTGCGAAATTCATATTCATTCCCGAAAAATCGATAATACATATACATTAATGTACTCGTTGCTACGCTCTTCCCATTACGATATAAAGGATCTTGGACGGCTATGTTTTTATGGGGAGAGGCTTCTACGGTAGAATGAAGAGAAACCCAGTTGGCGGTCAAAAACAGCGAGTGTTGTGTGAAACTACCTGTACAGTTTTAGCGATTAAGAAAGAGATGAACTCTGAGAAGGGGACAAATAAACTGGATAACTGAGTAACAAGGCCGATATCGATAATGACGAAGCTGATTTGAACGAGTAACGAAAATAATAAATTATTATTTTCGTTACTCGTGGGAGATCTTAATGGTGATTATGATGATGATAACTAAAAACAGCTGACAAGCGGGAGTAACGCATCATATAAAGTTATATATATATATGTGTGTGTGTGTGTGTGTGTGTGTGTGTGTGTGTGTAATGATACGGTGAACATGTAGAAGATCATAATGATGGTGACTGTCTATTGCTATTACTAATCACCCGACACAAATAGGCCAAACGAAGTATTTGGGACGCCTAGATACATGCAAATATATGTTAATCTAAGATTGCGGTAGAAACCATATCCTATTGGCAGTCCCTAATAGTTATTATTACATTGACGACAATAATATACAAAAGTGAAGATGATTTAATAAAAATGAACGCGTTGACGAACTGATTGAGATGGACAATATTGATAATCCCGGTGCATTACCTGACGATTATGAAGACCATAAGCGTTAAACTATTAGGTTTCTTTCCACGTCCATTTGGACTCTGATGAGGCCGAAATCCGCGTCAGATAGATAAAATAGCAAAAAAAAAGGCAGAGGCACACACTTCTAAATATGAACCGAAAATGTGCTTAAAGTAATGATATCAAGAGCTGAAGAACAATACCGAACGAGTGACACTGCGATATGAAATAGATAATCGAACGGAATGAGCAAACAAATATTATACAAAAAAAAATGGTCTATGAAAACATACAGTGCACTCACGAAGAAACTGCTTGCCTATGGGTATTATAATCATATTCACACGCAATTTCAGTGGCATGGGGCTATAGCCTGGTGCTCGGCATCATCTGACCCTACGACTTCGTGAATATAGGCGTGTGTTAAAGGACCCGTATCATCTCGGGTGGCACACAGTGGGCCTTGCGGCGCTCTTAATGGTGTGCAGCACATGGTAGATGGTAACATGACGCTACAGGAAGGCAGTGGATATACGGTTACAAATGGTGATGACAAAAACGACGGTATTACGATTATAATTATTATTCGCGAAAAGGATAGTTATGATGGGCAACTTAAACAGATGAAACAATACACCATAATTATTGATACTATTTGTACAGACCACCGGCCTATCTCTGTCCGGTTGATATCTCCCCTCGACCCATTGCTTCTGCTTCTCCAGACAAACAACCCAAGCAAACAGGCCAATAATTTGTAAACATATTAAAGCCATATGTGAATATTATGCAACAGCTAAAGGCTTCATGGGACAGCACACACGCGCAGGTGTGGCAGGTAAAGGCTTGTGTAAAAGCGTATTGTCACCTTACGATAGGACACCGATGTAGCGTGATGAGACGAAATATCATGAAAACGGTGTAACTGTCTACTTTCCATTACTAAATCGTCAATAGTTGTATCAACATGCGTGACGGGTGACGTTTAAAATGAGGGAGGGAGAAAGCTTTTGTGGGAAAGACGGTGAGGTTGACACTGGTTACGTTTTCTAGCCAAACCGAATTACCACAGATAGCAACACGCCCTACTACTATTGCTACGATAAGTATTACTGCTATAACCTACTGAACTAGTATAACTAAACTTTATATATATATATACTCTATAACATCAAATCAGAAATAGCAACATTATATATAAACATAAATTTGATAATTATCATGTATTACGAACTCCTTTCAGCCCCCGATAAGCCTTTGAAAAAATATGAGGTCCCAGGGCTCCCGCTTCCCAATCTCTTTGCTATAGGCACTTTAACGAATATATATCCCTATAATATGAATAATATATAATTATATTTGCCCAGTCATGCTATTTTGACCGATCGCAGCGAGATCGGATCATATAATTCCCTAACGATAAGAAATGAAGGATATCACCAAACAAAACAAGCTGCTACATATAGCGGCGCCGTTTGCCAATTGTCACAACCACACACATTCAGACTATAGAGATATGCAGTAGTATATGTAAGTATATTTTGTCTGTCCGATATGGATGAAAATGGCGGAATTACAAATGAAGGTTGATTTAACAACTAGCGAAGAAAGGTTTTTCAGCTTTACTCATATAATATTGCAGAGACAAAAATGTCGGAGGTTTTTTCGGGCAACACGAAGTGATAAAGGGGCACAAAAAACGTTATCATCGGGATAAGACGAAAGATCTACGTAAAAAATGAAAACTCTTTCCCTTACTCTTTAGTTGTTTAGTCATAAAACAAACTTTTTTTAGTCATAAAATTAAATGTATGCTAGTAGAACGGTTTACCAAATTGGCCTGTCAGATGATGGACGTCCGGGTGCCGAGCAGGTCTCAGCATTTTCTTTGTAAAAAATGGACACACAATAAATAATTGACACCAATCGACACAAGCAAACCCCTAACACATCTACTAAAAAGCGCTCCCACGCAAACACAGAGACTCTATTTGGAGTCAGCGTGTTGTAAATAACCACGCCGACTGCTAACAAAATGCCGACAAAGATATCAATAGACGATGATGGTGATTATCGTCATTACAATGACGATTGATTATGAGATTGATTATTATATACTATGTCCAATATATGAGATGTGAAAAAAACTAACGATGAAAAACAAATGATGGCGACGATATATACATATGTATGGACGACACTGTGGACGCACTAAGGGTGTGTGTGCTAGGCTTGTCCGTGGTTCCGATAAGCTCCCATGACCTCCACTCTGAGAGCAACACTTATATATATATATATAAATAATAAATGATACAGAAGAAATGAATACGATACGAATTATCAGCAGTGGCTGACTACTGGACAACAGCCGTCTTGTTTAACTGAACTTCTCACCAAAAACGCATAAGATATATTAACAATATCGCGACATTGATGGATAATGATGCTAAACTATATACCGACAACAACTTTTGTACCATAGTATTTTTTAATTTTAAATAATTCCCTTCCCTTTTTCGTATATATATATATATATATATATATATATATATATATATATATATACATATATATACGGAGAGAAAGCGAGAGAGAGAGAGAAACAAATAACGATAAACAAATGATAAAATAATGATGCTGCATAATAAACTGTATTCCCAAGAACAATAAAAAACGTACACGATGAGAAGCGAAAAAATTAACAGACGGACATTGCATCCAAATAAAAAAAATAAAAGCATACAGCATCCGTAATATAGATGAACAATATTTGAATCCTTTTTTGCGCGCGTTTTGCTGCGTTCTCGCAGCAAGAAAAGTGCGCGTTGTGGAAAATGGGGTAAAATGAAATCATCTACAACTGTGACCTATGATATATGAAAATAAAGAAGAGGAGACAAAACAAAAATGATTCTGATGAAGCTTATAATGTGGTAACATGAATAAAAAGTGAATGAATGAATGAATGAATATACGTCGAGAGAGAGAGAGAGAGAGAGGAGACAGCAACAGTTCTCTAGTTATAACGATTTATAAAGTCGTGGTCAGTATAAAAAGACGGATACACAAACGAAGCCAGATGAGACGGGCGAAGGAGATCTAT